AGTAATGTTTGAAGCTTTTGCTCAAGCATTAGGTCCTACTTTGTAATTTACTTTTTCTAATTACTTTGAATGAATCGCCGATTGGAAACTTCTAGAAAGTTATGATTTTCCAGCTTTTCGTACTTTTTGATTTCAGCAATCATTTTTTTGTCTTCAAATAGAACCTTTCCATTTTATGACTCCAATAGCTTATCGACAAACCCCCTCATGAAATTTTGAGCATGAACTTTTCAAATTTATAGGGCAAGCCATGGTGTGTACATAGTTTATGTAAGGGCAGCTACCATAAGTCACTAGTGACATTGTTGTTCCAAAAGGCTCTGATTTATTTTACGATGTTTTCCGTGCTTTTGTGCCAAAAGTACAACATTCTAAACAGCTACTGGAGAATTTTATGATTTTGAAAACGTCACAGTATGTTACAGTATGCGCGAGGATTTGGCGAAAAACGTTTTAATTTTAGATTTTGCAAACAGGAAAAGTCTGACGGTAGTTCGAAACCAGATAAATAAAGACAGTAATCAGTCATAAAATAATATAATCATACAAACGCTACATGATTTTCTTTCAGACCACTGAAAACGAATTATCGAAACGAAGTTAGTGAATAATCATAGCTCAGATGATTTCCGTTTCCAGAATATGTCGCGTTTCCAGGATGTGTCGCAAAATTTTGAAAGCGTTATAAAATTACGTAGAAAAAACTATTGAAATTCGAGTAACAAAGTTTCTGCTGGGCTAGCTGATACCCTTACCCTTTCTCAAAACTTCTGGTTCATAAATTGCCAAAAAGTGTTCAAAAACATACTGTTTTTCGAGGGCATGATTGTAGCCATGGTCTGCTTCTAAAAAATTTCAAGTGTTTTCTTTCTATCCAAAAAAAAAATTCTGCAACCGTTGATATCACTACCTATGTTGCTATGTTTTGTGCAAGTTCTTAATGTAATTCCATACGAGTAATCACTGCAAATGTGATATCTGCAAGATTGTTTTGCCATTCTCATTCACGAGAGACGCAAATAAGCAAATAACATTGTTCGCATGACGCGGATCTTAACGTTTTGCTGTGAATTCAGTAAATAAGTACGGCTTACTGATGGCGTAGGCAGACTGAGCGAGGTGGGAGTTTTGTAAGGTGATCCCTTTTGCATAAGCTATTTATTTTAGGAAAATCTCTAGACAACATGCACTCTAGAGGTAGAATTCTCATAGCATGCATATGGTTTATCAGCTATCATTTATTCTGTCTCAGATCGCCTTCTAACTCTTGTGAAATATTGGGCACAGTCATTGAGAATATTTGTTTTCTTGCCAAAGATGATGAAACGATGAAATTTTTCATGCTTCCGTGCTTGATACCAATATGTAACAATTTTTTTAGTCTTTAATGGTCGAGGTCAATTTAGAAAAGACCGAAAGCTTAGACTTTAAAGGATAAGGATTGTAATAGAGAGTATGTCATGTCTTTGAACAAAAACTACTACTCTTACGTAAATACAAATGCAGAATTGAGATTCAGTGTGCGATGTTCAAATAATGTTTCCTCGTCTTGACATTCTTCTAATCTATCGAAATTGAAGCGCAGCAGAAAAACCCGAAATGAATATCACAAGCAATTAAACTGTTCTTTAACGCTTTGACTTGACATTATTTGTAATCTCATGCCATTGGAAGTAAGTGTAGTTGAACGTATGTGCCCAATATTCTCAGCCACATCTACCATTCCGTTTTGGCCAAAACGATTAATCCTTGAAAATTGCTGTCAATGAGAAAATTTGTTACCAAACAATATGTATATCTATTAAATTACTTCTCTGGATCAAACTTAATTTCTTTTTGTGTCATACATCGACTTCTATATAAGTTAACAGCAATTTGGTATTATTTAGTCTAATACTCGTCGTCTTGATGACTAATCACTTCTCTAGAAGGTGAAGATGCAAAAAGCCGTTTCATATCATTAATCGGGAAAGTTTCGCCTTGCGAACTCCATAAGCTATCCAATATTTTTCTTATCTTTGTTAAGCGAATTCTAGAAAGAAATTTCGGACACAATTTAGTTTGCGACATGTCAGTGCTTTGTAAGGCTGTTATCTATGCCCTTTTTTCTCGTCCAGCTGATGGCAGTAGGTCATCAAGCCATGTACTAAGCTTTGGCAAGTGTATAACTTCAGGGAAGGTGGAGGAAATAAGCTTACTGAAAATTTATAGGCTATTCTGCAATAATGGTTACAGCGCAATAGATTTATTCCAAAAGAAAAAGACTAGGAAGAACTTCCAGTATATTAAAGTCTATGGTTTGGCACGTCTCTTAAATTTTTTTAGTCTTTTTTTTTTACATTCATATGCTACCAGTAGGCTCGCAAATGGTATTAGTACTGCATCTACTAGTACTAGAGTAAAATTCAATTATCACCTTTCATTAAAGTCTCTGATGCAGAACGACTTCCAGCTTTGACTTCATAGCTTTGCAGAATCACACTCATTGCATCCTTACTCTATGAATTCTCTCAACTGTAGAGTGCAACCGGGCATCCAAGGAATAAGTTAGTACTTGCTGGCTGGAAATTGCACGGAAATGTCATTTCAGTTTTTGGGATTCAGAAATGTTTTTTTAGTGGTCGAAGGATATATATTTTCTTTGCTCGTAGCCATATATTCAAAGCTGACACTTTTCAGTATAGCTTGGCTCGCTCCTACTTCATCCTGGCGCGATCTTAAAAATAGCATTCAAAATGTGATCTTTGCTTCCTGCATTTTGCTAGAAAAGAGCTAGTTGACTGGTACGATAATAAAGCTGATAATTTTTTGAGTATTTCTCCCGATATTTTGCTCACCATGAACCGAGTAGGAATATACAATCTTTCCAAAAAACTTTTCAATGAAGAAAGAAGGCCTGTGAGATCTTGCAAGTATGAAAATCCAACTAATATAAATAATTATGTTATCCAATTTAACATAATGATATCATTTCCTTGAGAGGAAATTGGAATTGGTGTGAGACCAAAAAGTTATATCTAATAATCGTCAAGGTTGTACAATTGGAATGACTTTAACTCATATGAACCCTTTTTATTGTATCGACGCTAACCCCACCACAACTTATGTTTTTGTAAAAGACTTCTGGCATATGAAGCAGAGTGAACCTATTAGGTTGTCTATTGTTTTCGCCGACTTCAAGAGAACCTTGTCCATTTTTCTAAAAAGGTTTAGGGACTACCTTTCATGAATAAAGCAGTTTTCGCAATGGCCACAAATTTGAAAGTTTTGATTTTGGTTCGAAGAGTTATATATTTACCTGCGGCAAAGATCAGGTTTGTGGTTTGAAGAGACCCGCGGATCCCCTTATAACGCTTATATTCAAAAAACAGACATTAACTCATATATCTGCAGTGATTTTCTATGGCTTGTTGGGAGGAAAGGAATGGCAAATTCCAATTCCACCCCTACCATTTCTGAACTCTCCACTTATTAAGTTACACAAACTGTTCTAAGAAAAAGCCATGAATTCACACCAGGGCTTGGCACAGCTGGCACTGGGTCAAGCTGAATACCGTTTCTGGAACAGAACGCAAAGGGGACATCTTTTTTGTGGCCGAAAAGACACAAGAATTGCGACGTTCTTTAGTCAAAGTTTCGTTTTTTAGGGTTTTTTACCTTTAGTGCTTAGAGTCAAAGGAGACTTCGTACGAAATTTTCAAAATCGAAAGAAAGTTTGTTCTGAAATTTTCCTGGCGCCAGCTCGTGCCGAGCCCTGATTCATACCTGTAATGTGCACCATTGCAAGAAAATATCTAATTAATCTGTATCTTTACGGAATTTCTAGAACAATTCAGCATATGTCCTTTGCTGTTATCCTGCTCACTAAAACCAACAAATAATAATTTCGTCTATTTGCTAAAGCCGTAGGATAGTTGCTAATTCCACAGATGCAAGAGTTTCTGTTACTAGTAAACTCCCGTGATCTTGCACGAGAACCAAGCCTAATGACTCTGCTAAATTAACCCATTTATAAAGGCACATGTGAATCAACACCGACTTGTGTACAGTTTATAAGTGAATAACTATTTTTGGAGACAGCTCAGCTTCGTCACGTGAAGGCAATCCAGCCCTCCCAAAACTAGGATAATCAACGTTTTGGTCATTGACCATCGTCGTAATTGATTGTTCGTTCAGCTTTTGACATTCTGGTGCTCATTGTACGTTTCGAGTGTTGATATCCAGCAGTTTGCTCTCTCGAGGATTGCTAGACATTTTCTGCTGTGTGTTTCCTGTTTTCCGTGCTAAATGAACCATGAAAAAGAGGCTGATTGCATATCCTGCATGTGTGTTTATAGTTGTTTTTCTTGATTCCCAACAATTACTCTGAGCTTTGACCAAGCACGTTGCAAACATTTGGCCTAGAAAAGTGAGCTTTCAAGTTTTCTACCAATTGAACTTCCACCCTTCGGTTATTTCCCTTACTCATAGATCGCTAGGTTATCATAATCTACTGGGGTTGTCGCATAAGTCTTGCATCAGATTTGAAAATTCATAAACTCTCTTTTCTATAATGAATGACAGATTGTAAAAACATTCGGCTCGGAAATTCCATATTCTTACTGTAAGACAAATTTTTTGCAAGTTTTCTAATGCCCTATTCGGTTCAGATGTCGAACATATGTTCAGTCAGAATCTATTGAAAAGAAGTCATTAGCTTTCCAGCGGAAGTCTGTAACAAAGGTTTTAATTTTCCGAAATTTTCCACTACTTGGTTTCCATATATAACATATTCTCTAACACGCATAATAAACTACGGCATTCATAATACGAAAGAAAAGTATACAAGAAAATTTTGTCAGACACAATTCGTGCCAAAAAAAATTTTTTTCTGCGCAAGACTTACTGGACAGTCTGACACTCCAATTACAAGTTTTTTAGGTTTTTGCAAGCATATGTATTCCTCGTTTTGTGCATTAACCTTCAAGCCATTGATTTTATGATCTATTCCAGGAAAATTCATGAACGAACGTTCACGGCGGCTTTCGACACGTTCTCTGCCCAGGCAGAAACGTGTCAGCTCATGTGATCATGTCAGATATGTTGATAGTGTAGATGTTGGATCGAACCTGAATGTGAGTTCATTACAATGAATCTATTTGTTTGAATTTTCCTAGCTATGCTCAAGTATTCGTCTTGTTTTGCTCTGAAATATCTTCTAAAGGATTCTCTCCCCTCTCCACGGTTGACTTCTCATTCTCTGGATCTACAGCCAGCTACATTTCACTTTCTAAAGTTGTTTTATTCTATGCATTTCTATACTTTTTCCAGTGTTTAGTGGAGTTGGCAACTTTTCCATCAATATATTTAACATACGAAAAGCTATCAACAGATCGTTAGTGTTTGAGCATCTACTTTCAATGCATTGCAGAATATAAGACCGTTGACCAAAGTTCCTTTGTTAGTTCCTCGTCTGCTTCCTCCTAAAAAATCTGTATTCATCAAACATTTTAGACCATTTTTGGATCCCTCTCCATTGAAGTCAAAGTGCATATTGCAATTTTTGGAACTTTTAGCTGCATATCTTATGAAACCACACATAAATAATGGTACTCGACCATGTGCCCTTTTCACACGAGGTTAGCAGCAGGTCTTCTCAAGTTTCAAAACAACTTTTCCTTGTAAACGCCCTTACCATTGTCTTCACTAGTACTTTACTTGGAAATGACTTTCGAATTTTGTTACGGAAGTCTTCGCACCAATGTGATACAAGGCAACGGGTACAAAATAGGATGATTCACTTACAATCAGCCATAAAAAAATTTCAGTGGGCGTCATGTTCGAGCATAATGTTTTGCATTCATTACGGATATTTTGGCATGTCTGATGCTGTCTGGAAAAAATACAGTTCTAATCTCAGAAAATTGATCTAGTTTAATTTTACCATATGCGTGCTGAAGTTCTATAGGAAAATTTTTGGACAACCGGGAATTTCCTTCTCACTTTTCCTAGATAAAGAGATAAGATAAAAACAAGATGATTACAATATTCAACAATCAAGCTCGTCCGGTTTTTTTGGAAATTCCTTGCATTATTAATCATTCCAAAAAGTCTGCTCTACAAAGGCAATCTTAACAAGCCTCTAAATCTATTTTAGTTCATTTTCAAATTAGTTTGTGAATGCTCGAAGTCTAAAGAGTCATGAACCTAGATCGTATAAATATTGAATATTCTAAAATACTAAAATACTAAATAATTTGCGTCAATATCAAAGGTACCGGGACAGGATGCTTCATTCTAATACCCCTTGAAATTTATATTAGGTCGTTCCGAAAGTAATGTCGCTTTTTTCAAACGTATGCCACATCTCGCGGAACAAAGATGTATAAGAGATTCTGGTATCATTTGATGCAGCACTTCATTCACTTTCTAATGGTTATGAAGTTGTTGCAATATAGTCAATGAGCTTCCAGAAAAGAGTCGGAATCTGCGACCTATGCCTTTTGAGATGGCCAAGTTTCACAATTTTTTTAAAATTTTATAACAAACCTTAGAAGGAGTCCAAGTAATGGATGGATGGAGCAAACCCTACAGGAAACAGCACAACTTTTCTCTACTTTCCAGAGCTCGTCATAATTTGTTTACAAATTTTTCGATGGAACCACCGAATTTTAGCAGGCTCGTCTCAGACACAAGTGCATCAAACGCCAACAAGTCTCCGGATTTTGAAACTTACAAAGATGGATTATGGTTTGGCAACAATTTTGCAAACTAAACGAGCATTAACCGCTTCGGTTTAGCCACTTTCGAAAATTTCGGGTACACCTTGGGGTGCCTTGGAAAAGTTGAATTATGATGATTTTATCCCGGAAAACTTGATAAATCGGAAACAAAAAACGACCTCTAGAAAGAGGAGAAAAAGCTGCATCGAATGGCATTCGAGTCGCTTGCCAGTTGTTGTTCTGTGAGGTTTGACTTGACTAAATGTGGAGTTTGATGGCATTGAGAAATTGATTGTAGAAACTCTGAGAAGCAAGCTAAGGAAAAGAAAAAATTACTCTGTGTTCTATAGTGTTTGCTCTATCTACCTGCTGCTTGTACTTTTTCAGAGATTAGTGCAAAAATTTAGAAAAATAGCCGAACTTGACCATGGCAAAAAGCATAAGACGCAGATTTTGGTAATTTTTCGAAAGCTCATTGAACATTATGCAGTGAAATTAGAATCAATAGAAAGAGGATGAAATGCTGCATCGAATGATCATAAGAACTTTTGGAAATGTTGATTCCACAAATAGTGGCGTTCATTCGAAGAAAGCGACATTACTTTCGGAACGACCTAATATACAAGTTCACAACTTTAGTAGAAAAGTTTTATTCATCAAATAATTTTCTGCTTGAGAATTGATCAAATCAGTGCTAAGGCTAGATTAATTTCGTTGTAAACATAATAATCAAATGTTGCGTAATATAATATTTGAGGCAATGCAATTTGCAATATAATTCGTTATATTAGCTGATCAGATAAAAAAGGCTGCATATGCAAAACAGCGGAAACCATGTGGAATTCTTGGTTCCGAACTTTTTTCTGGAATATTCAAACAATTTTTTCATTCTTATGATCCTCCTTAGTTTGTAAATGCTTTAGGTCAACAGAGTTTTGCAGATACGATCGTTAGCTTTGCATGAGAGTTTAGCATCGAAAAATAACATTTCCAGGCGGATTGCGTGTCAGCTTCCAGTAGTGCGCAAAGCATTCCGGAATACAGCCGTGTTAGCTCGTTGACATCACCAGTTGGCGATTATTCGGTCACAGTAGGTTATTTTCTGTTGTTTTCATCCTTTTATCCTCTCTCTTTTCTATTTGCCTCTTTCCTTCCTCTTTTCCTCGCATGCTGTCCACAGCTTTCATTTTGAAACCTTGAACACTAACTAGAATGACATCTTCTATGCATCTCATCACATTTGATATGATCTCCTTGCAGAAGAAAGAACAGAGCTGCTCCGTCCAAAAGTTCATCTTTTTGTGAAGATGTGAAGAAAAGAATGTGTTTCCATTGATTCGCGAAGCTTGCGGTATTTTCTCAGAATTTCTGCGAAATATGACTTGACATCTTGGACAGTTTTGAGGAATACGACGCTTCTGCCATTTTTTGTGTGTCACGGAAAAGGAAAATAGATATTGTCTGAATCGCTTTTTCCCAAGAGTTAGAAGCGATAGTGTTGCCTGAGTTCTCTAGGATATGAAAAGTTCTCTAGGTTATGAAATAACGATTTTTGGCTCGTAAATCAGTATCGTGAGTGAGTTCATCAAGTTATAATCAACATCGATTATCAAAATTTGGATTGCATACAGAATTCGGCACAAGATGGCACTTGAGGATTCTGGAAGCAAGTTTCTCTGAATTCGCAAAATTACGAAGATTTTCTTGATGAAACGCTTCATAGATTGTTAATGGCAACGAGATGGTAACGCTCTTTGTGACCAGAGCAGAATTAACCGCTGAGAATTTTTCTGAAAAATAAAAGAGCGAATGGGAAGAAGTATGAAATCATTTCAATTGATAGTAGTACGCTTTTGATGTCAGATTCGAATATAAATAGAAATCATGTAAGCAAAGAACCGCTGCCAGCTTACTGTCACCATGCTGGAACGGTTCCAAGTTTTCGAAAAGTTTGCCGAAGCTTTCATCAACATTCTTCAAAATCTTTGAGCACAGTTTGATTTATCTAATGCGAAATTGCACACCAAATTTGGTGTAGTGCTATTCGCCTATTCGTTGTAAACAAGCCATTACGTTATGCTTGATTGAGTTAGAGATTGTAATTAATGACCTTGTCTTGACTTGTTTGCACTTGTGAAGGTGTCTTGAATTCGACGTCCATCACTGAATCGTTTTGAACTTTTTTCAATTACTCAAATATTTTTGCATATCCGAAGTTTTGCTCTGGATTCCCTGAAACGACGCCCGTCTTTGCCTTTTTTTGAACGATATCTAGCTTGCCACTGCGCTAACTGTGCCGAGCTGCATATTATATTAAATTATTGAGTAAAGATTAGATTAGTGAAAAAGTTCATCCTCATACCCTGGCGAGCAACTCTCTCTTCCTCATACTAAAATGTGCAGAGGAAATCAAGTTGAACGCTCCTTAGTTTAAGCGTATTTACGGGTACCACCTTTTTCTTATATCAACCTGTATTTCTTTTCTCTATTTCCTTCCTTAACAGGCTGCACGTCCGTTAAAAACACTTTCATACATTCATTTCGCCTGAGATCAAGTTATTTTCTTTCTCAACGGTCATGGGACATAGAAGTCCTTGTTAGTTCAAAACCCGAAAGTTCTTAGATCATATTTTCTACGAGAATCCTTATAAACTTAATAAAGCTGAACGCTTATTTAACTTACTTCTAATGATGTACTAAATCGTTTTGAAGCCTATCAGAAGGAAAAATTTGCTTAAAGTGCATTTATAACCCCATTTCCTTCCTTTTGTTTACGAACTTCTGACTTTTGCTATCCGCAATTTCCGCTCTGTAATTGAAAATCGAGCTTTTACATCCTTAGTAGGCTGTAATAGCTCAGCGATGTACATAGAGACCTAAATTTAGCATCCTCCCATGTTTGCCTGGGTTTTTGACTTTCATTTCAAAAACTGCAGACAGACAAATTGCAGAAAATTGCAGAATTTTCAAAATTGCGGAAACAGAAAGCTAATTTGTTGGCATGAAGCTTGCTATAGTTATGTTTATCGCTTTTGTGATGCTTGTTCACACAACTAATTCAATCCACAAGTTGCATTGAGAAGGTTAGCAAAAACGTCCGAAAAAAATTTCGATTTTTATTCCAAAATTTCTTATCTATGTTTAATGCCGTATCTTACTGTGCTTAAGATAGTTTATAATAGAGAGGTTATGGAATCTAGTAAATAAATTTTGAAGTCGTTACTTTTTGACGTTCTAATTTCTCGCAGAGAGTAAGAGTAGGTTAGAGAACCGGAATCAAAATTAAAATCAGATTTCATTAAATCTTTCAGCCTCTTTTACTACCAAAAATAGAGGAAGGACAATGTGAGTGTTTCCATTCAATAGCTTGTATCACCGCTATTTTCAAATTAACATTTTTTGATTTTTACCCGTTAGAATGCTGTTGATTTATTCTTTCCAACAACTATTCTCAAACAACTCAGTGACTTCTTTTGGGACAAGCCAAGGTTACTATTGGGCGATGGTAATTTGGACTTAAGAGCTGAATAATTTAGAAGACATACATTTTCAAGCGAAATCCTTGAACTGACAAGAAAAAATATGGCTCCTCCCAATCACTGTTTGTGTCTGCTTCATCGTGAACGCGCTTCTTCGGCTTCCTTCCCATCCCCGCCCCTTTCCGATTCTGTATCGAGAACATCCTTCTCAGACATTCACTGCTCAGGTGATGATTGACAAAGGCTCTGTTCTACGACGAGCTGCTTGGTTCTTGGCCAGTCATGAAAAAACGTCGTCGGATCAAACGGATGTCGAAAGGCCCCGTGGACTTGCTAGTGTTGGTCGGACCATTCAACGGACAGGTAAGGAAAATTTACCTTGTTTTGTATTGAAGTCTTCATATAACTACTCTAGACATGTTTGTTTTGGGTTGATTATAAGCCTAACAGCAGGGATTACGAAAAAATTATTCTAGAATTTTCTGAAGAAGCTTTTCAAATTATATAGTAAAACCTTCATGAAATGTGTTCTATGTTGCATCTTACTATACTTACAAGTTTATTTGAGTCGTAACCAAAATCGTTACAAAATGGGAATCGCAGCTCTTTGTGGGGAAATCCAAAGTGCTGCAACTGTTCTTCGGTAGAAAATGGAGGTTTTGAACGCTGAACTGAAACTGTAATCAATTTCTGTAGGCGTTATAGCAGATTTAGAGACCAAACATCCAAAAACTTTTCTTATAAGTTGAATTGCCGTGTATAATCATAATAAAAAATTGAAACGCCATGTAATTACAGTAAGAAAAAATTTATACTCGAGCACTCCTAGAATTTGCTGGATTTCTCTTGCTAATATATATAAACAAAAGTAATATCGCTGAAGTTGGAGGATATACAAGTTTCCAAAAGTTCCAGAACGTTCCAAAAGTTATGAACCTGATAAAAAAAGTATTTTCATATGCTATATTTCCCATTAAGGTGCGAGTGAAACATATTATGTTAGTCTTTCCTACCCATCTACATGTGCCTTTTGTTTTCATCCAATCTGCCTTATATGTACCTCCTTCCGCTGTGTGGCACCATAGTTCGTTTCTTACATCAAAAACATGTTTGTTAGGTTGCAATGACATATTCTTCAGTTCCAAACAGAAACCTTTCGTCTTGGCTTTTCATTTGATAACAAATATCAGCTTAAGCTTAAGTCATCTCTTAAGCTATCAGCTTAAGTCATCTTTATTCTTGGCTTCTGCGACTATAGAGGGTGTCCCAAAAGTATGTATACACTGTTTGATCGTTAATATCTCTCTTCCCATAAAGTTTTTTGCCTTGCTTCAGGTACCGTTTCGTAGAGCTGGCTTCAACTTAGAGTTACAGTATGGGGAGAATCACCGACAGTTCTTCATTACTGTAGGATTACGGTAGAAACTTGCAACTTATGGTGTCAATGTGGAAAAAGCTGCCGTTGCAAATTTTCAAAAAAATGTGAAGACTGTGTAGTAGGGTTTTCATGGACGCTGAGTTCAATACTCAGCTTTTCACAAGATTGCGAAGCTTTCTAAACGGTGTAACCGCACTTCTTAGGAACATTGAAAAACTGGCCGTTACTGCTTACCTGGCATAACTCTTCAATGAAGCATCATAATAAATTGAGAACTTTACAAATAGAATCAGCAACTCTAATTAGCCTATTGTGAAAGTTTTCAGGCTGTTTTGTTTCTGTTCTGAGGCAAAATATGGCCTTTCATGGCTGAAAACCCTCATTGAAGTTTCTACCGTAATCCTACAGTAATGAAGAGAGATGGGTGGTTCGTTCTATACTGCAAATCTAAGTTGAAGTCAGCTCTACAAAACGGTACCTGACGCAAGGCAAAAGACTTTTTGGGAAGACAGATATTAACGATCAAATAGTGTATACATACTTTTGGGACACCCTGTATGTTCTGTGGGTACTTTTCCGTTATACAGACCTATTTTTTCAAAAAGCTCTCATATTATACGTTCTTTAGTCTAAGAATAATTTTTCATAGATTCTACGATGAGTGCCTCCTTGCCACGTGTCACGAAAAAAATTGACACGTTTTGGTCCATTTTGACACGTTTTTCTTCGAAATCATTTCCGGTGAGATAAAAGAGCATTTGCGATTATTTTAAAGCTGTTTAACTGTTTTACATACGCACAATACAATCATGGACTTATTCTAGAACATCTTGCTTGCTTTCAGCAGTGACTAAAAGATGTATTTCTCTTCATACCCTTTTCGTCGTGCGAATTCAGCCAAAAAAACTACAAGTGATTGCCTGAAGTACCTGGCTGCTGCTTATTTCGCCTCTTAAATGACGGAACCCTAGCGCACTTCTCTATACGAGCAAGTCTAATCTGTTTATCGATGATAATATGTCGTCATTATTATGGCAATGTTTACTCTGAAACTGTTTGATCGAAATGAGGTCAAAATTAACCAAAAAGCAGATTGTACTCACATCGCTAGGGAGGGTAACTCAAACTCTGGGTAAAACCTGTTAAACATGTGGATGACACGTCATATTTTTCGATACGTGGCCGTCAACACTCCTTCCTGTGAAGTTGGGACAATATATGGTATAAGGATAGAAGCAATAACTTTCTTTGAAAAAATGGGTCCGTATAACGGAAGTACCGTTCTGTGTTATGCAACAAATGCCAAATTCGAGCAAATTTTCACTCTTCAGGTTCGCAACTAAGAAAAACACGTCTCTTTCACCTCTTTTATATACTGGTTCTACCAATATATACAGTTCTAGGAGCATGGATATTCAAGGTAAGGATGAATTGTAGTGTGTTTATTAGGTATTTGCTTAATCTCACAAAAACTGTTGTTATTGCTATGGAACTATATACTTTTTTTATAGACTCTTGACGGTGAGCACGACGATAAGAAGATGGAGGAGTTTAGAAATAGGTTTGTTTACGTGACCTTTTGATTGCTCTCAAAATATCCACAAAATCTCTCAAAGAATGTCCTTGAAATGTAATAAGACGCCCTTGAAATTGTGTCCTTTGAAATTTGACCAAAATTGTTTTTTCTTCTCAAGGAAGAAGATAAATGAAACATAATGAGAGACGCTTAGTGTAGTCACGTTTTAGAGCCAAGCTTTCTACGGCACATCTCTCTAACGAGCCCTTTTTATGTTGAAGGTTGTATTTCTTGTCCCATTTCATCTGAAAAAATCAGGCTCTAAAATTTCCGCATCGCTCTCACGGTTTCACAAAAAAAGACAGCAACACTAAAAGCCATAGTCGAGGGTAATAGGGTAAAATCCAAAGCCTTTTTGCTTTCTGTATCTCGGAAATCTTGTTTACGTTCTGGCTTACCCGCTAAATGTTAATGAATGTGGAAGATATGCAGGGATTGAGAGAATGCACAGAAAGATGCTGATGATGTGAGTGAGGAAACATAAATTTTTTTGTAAGTTGGAAAATTACCAGCAAAGCTATTTCCTAATAGGGGTAGCTTAGTGGTATAAAAATCTGAAAACGGGGGGTAATGAAACCCTGCGTGCGGCACTTAACCTGCAAAAAATGAAGAGACTGAAAATGAAACACGAAATTGAATGTTGAAAGCGAATAAGTCGGAAATCAAAAAACTAAAAATAGAACATTTTTATCATTTTCTTCACTTGCACTACTTAAATCATTAGTGGTTTTTTTTGTCAACTCAAAAAATAGATTGTCCGAATTTTCTGACCAATATCCATTTCAGATGTGATCTTTCACGCAATGCAACTTTGACAGAAATTATGTCCTTGTGCGAATCTGGAGGAAATTGCTTTAATTTGATGAAATCCTATCTAGAAGAGGTGGAGCGATGCTACAAGAAGTGATTTTTGTAAATTTATTCGAAAGAAATCGACCAACTGTAATTTGTTATTGTAGCTGGCATTTGGTGAATAGGACAATCACACATTCTATGAACGACTTCACAAATGCTCTTGTTTATGCCTTCAGGTAAGGTACCATATTTTTGAGTTTAGTTGAAATTTCTGCTCGAGTTTTACCTCTTCATTTTTGAGGCCTAACGTTTTGCTGTCCTTGCTTCTCAGTAGAGACCTAGTGCATTCTATAGAAGCCAAATTTTATTTTCCAATGTACTCGTGCAAAATTTGAACACAATTTCATTTTTGCTCCATATGATAACGCATTCGACAACTTTGATCCTCATGGGAAAATATTTCTTTCAGTTATACATTTCGTCCTTCACAACTTTATTATCCGAGTTTCAAGCCCAAATCCTCATCATCTTCAGCTTGTAAGAGTGGTCAAACTCTTTTTTCCTTCCTCCGTTCCTTTTGATTAGGACATCCAGCCATATGAGACTCAAGACAACACATCTGCACTTGACAGTTTCTATATTCGCCAGCGATCCGTAGTTGATTAGCAGCTATGAGATCTATGAATTAGAATCGTGGCAATGGAAGGACTTCCGTATCTCTAGAGGGAAATCCATGTGCTGGCTGGAATTTTGCCTTTATTCTTGCGAATCGTGTCACTTTGTTATCGACTTTCTCTGGTATATAGATCAAACTAAAAAAGGTTTACAAAGTTTTGAATCATTTTGTTCTGTCTATCGAGAATCCAAACTGTACTTGAAAGAATGACTGCCAGGCTGCCTTGTATATTTCAACTTGTCTGTTCTCGATTCACATTCACACATTTCGAAGAATTTGAAGCTAATATTTTGAGACTTGACCGAGCATGTTTTATATTTAATTGAAACGATGGTGATCAAAGTTACTTAATGATTGAAGGAAAATATGAAGAATAATCAGGGCTCGGCACTGCTGGCACCAAGTCAACGAGGATATCGCTATTGGGACAAAAAGCAAAGGGAACATTGTTTTTATGGCCGAAAAGACACAAAAATTGCGATGTTTTTAAGCCATGTTTTAGTTGAAGCTTTCTTTTTTCTAAGGGTTTTTTACATATAGGATATATGGTCGAAGGGGGCTTCGTACGAAATTTTCAAAATCAAAGGGGACTTTGTTTTAAAATTCCTCTTGTGCCAGCTCGTGCCGAGCCTTGGGACAACCTATATTCAAATATAAATAGCTGCTGTGATATATCACTCTAATCGCGATTATAGCTGGTGTTTTATGGCTACTACTATGATGGACTCCCTACATTTTGCTAGCTTTTATACCTTTCATTCGAAAAAAGTGGTGCGTATAAGACTCAGCACTCATTAACTTTGCTTATAACTCTAACACTGTCCTAAATTCAATTTGTCATCATGCACTAAAAACTCTTCCGCATCCTTGAGATGAAGAGCGAATAATAATGATATTTCCATGTGGAACTGGAGAAAAGCACATTCTCGTTAGCTAGACATCTATCTTACCAGCTTCCTTGTTTTTCCCCTATATGAGCAAAAGATCACCATAACACACGATCAGAAGTTTGGTGACATTCACAGACAATGAGGTCTGGGGGTTTTTGCACAATAAGAAAAGCTTTTTACACTCTGTGACATTCTTTACTTAGAATTTCCTTATTGTCCGTTAACAACTGTACATACGAATGCTACTGCGCAATAACAAGAAAATTTAGCAAAAAACGACGTACTCTCATAGAGAGTGCCTCTTAAATATTCATGAGATGACTATAATAATTTGTTGCTATGGAATTTGTTGAAGACTGTGATAAGTACTGTTGGAGATTTTTAACAACAAACATATCCACAAAGTTCATTCATTTCAAAAAAAGTGCTGTAACATCAAAGTTGTTATATTGCTTTCAAATATGCCCGAGCTTAATAAGCTTTACACATTGTGAGACAGCAAATTCAACATTTAAAATATCTTTTCTCAACACACGTACTATTAGAATCAGGGTCGTCCTTGCTTTCGATGTCCAGATATTTTTATTATAATCTGTGGTGTATTGCACTCTACCTACCATTAAGCGATTCTTGTTAGTATCATGTTCTCCTTCGTCAGGCAAAAAAGTGTTGATTATTCAAAACTATTATCGAAGGCAAGAAAAGAAAAATCCACACTAACTACATCAATAATACTATAACTTGAATAATTCAACATTGTTGCAAGAAGGAAAGCAAGAAAATGGAAAATCGGAAAATGGAAACTAAGTTGTGTTTGAAATTACAAAATCAGATAGTTTCCGTATCAGAAACCAATCTGTTCAGGATTTCCACTCACTTCTTGTCAACAAAAACGCTGTCCATCTCTTGTATTAGCTTGTAAAGAAAGTGGAATTTTTCGAAATTTCATTTTCTGAGGACTGACAACAAGTTTTCAATGCTATTCAATAGAGGAAACCAAAAACTTTCCAGAATCGAAAAGCCAACAAGACAATTTTTTGTTTAGATGAAATTGTCTTTGCACAGAAATTTGTAGCTCTGAAAATTTGCTTGAAGTTACAGCGATTGAATAAAATTTTTGTCGCAAGCGCCCCTGAATTTCTTTACGACCTAATAGTTTATAGAAGAACTACGATTTATAAAAAATCTCACTGTTTTCGTTGCTATGCTCTGGTAAGAGATGGACAGTTTTCCTGGAGGCCATTTTGACAGGAAGTGCACTCAAATCTTAAGTTTTTCACAACGTGAGAACTACTTGAATTTTCCCGTTTCAAACGCAACTTATCAGTAGGGAAGAATATGGTTCTATGGTAGCATTGGATCACATCGATAAGATCGGCGGTATGGCTGTACACGGGTTATGACGTGGAGAACGATTTATTTGCATGAGATTAATTCTTCGTATTTTACTCCTTTACATATTATCTAGAAAATGAAAATGTAACAAACGTCGTACACCCCTGAACTCTTTTGAAGGCTTAGGTAAGTAGTGTTGGACTCCAGCAACAGAAAAAACTGGTTCATTTTATTGAAAACTGCTTTGACAGTGTTGATAAAGGCGTGCTCACTTTTTTTAGAATAAATTTCGAGAGGGTAAAGTCACCTCTATCTCCTGGCACTGTGGATGACATGTACTATTAGGCCCAAAGTTATCCTGCATACATATATGCCGGTATCCAGGATTTCCGTTCGCGGGGGCGGGGGGGGGGGGGGGGGAGAGAACAAAAAATTTTCCGGATAAAGGTGCGTGGCGTTATCCATGCACAAAAATTTCTCTGATGCTTTCTAAGATTTTTGCGGACCCGGAACCTCGAAATTTCAGGAAAGGGGAGAAAATTTCAAAAAATCTCTTTACAAGGCTAATTTAAAATTTTAAGACTTTTTCAAAATTATTTTGATTATTTACAAGTAAAAAAGTCGCTTGCCCTTTATAGCACATGTGATTGACTTTTGAAAATTTCGCGACCCATTCTCGCGGGGGGGGGGGGGGATAACGTTCAGTTTGAGAGTATTTTTTTCCAATCTCGGTTGAGTAACTTCAACCTGCTATTTCTCGATCCTCATAAAAGTATGTTCATTTCTTCCGTTAGAAAAAGAAGAGTTGAGCATTTGAATCAATATCGTTGATAAAAAAAAAAGAGAAACTGCCCATAACAGCTTCAACACTATGAAACCATAACTTGAACATCTATCAGTACTATTTGCTAGAAGATATAGTGTATATACTCACACGTTACGACAAGAACAAGGAAGGTGCAGCACCTCTTGGTTACAAACCGCATTTGAAACGGGAAAATTATTCAATCTTTGGAAGCCCATCTTCCCAAATTTCTGCGCACTTTTTCTCAGGAAGGCCTTAAAAAAGCTGTCTACCTCTTATCCTTCTACTTTCAATATATTTATGTTATAGAGACCGTGAAATATAAAAAGTCTATCGAATTATTCTTGTTTCTGGACAAGAATTGTGGTAAACCTCAGAACTCTGATATTTCAAAATGAAACTATTCCTGATTTTTGATAACGTGCACATAGGATTGCAGAATATAAGAAACTGCAAAATTTTGTGGTGATGAGCTGCTACTGAAAAGCGAAGATTGATTCCAAATTTGGGAGCTTTTCCCAAGATTTCTGCGCACATCTTGTCAAGGCCTTAACAAAAGTTTTCCATCTCATGTGTTTACATATACAATCGTGTTTTACACATTTGTGTTATAGTGAGCATGCTTTACGAAATTTTTTCCTCCCAATGTGAATAGGTAAAAAAAAACGACTTACTCAAAAGCCATTCTGGCAGGATGTGCGCAAAAAACTTGACTTTCCTTCAAAGTGAAAAATATTTGAATTTTCCCGTTTCGAAAGCAGGTTATTACTAAAGAAGAAAGTGGGATCTTCGATCATTTAGCTAGCTTTTCACTTCTTATGTTAGCTTCCATGTATCATGCATAATATGCTGCAGGTATCCAAATATTGCTCATCCCCAACCAAATCGTATTTTTTCAGTGTTTACACTACAATAGGTTACGGGAATATGGCTGCCGACACGACTCAATGTCGAGTGGCTACCATTATTTACGGGGCGTTTGGTAAGTAGCCCTGCTTACACAAAAATCTGTACATTTAGCAGGGTATTTTCAGGTATACCGTTATTTTTTGCGTTTGTAAAAGAAGAGGGTAATCTTTTCCGAAATGTGTTCATTTCTATTTATAATCGCATTATTGAATGGCGACGGAAACATTGTGGATGCCATTATGGAGGTTAGTCATTTTTTCACAAAGTAGTTCCTCTTCCATGGAAGTGTATAATAAGTAGGACTGTTTTTTTCTGCTATGCATTTCGACTTTTAACTCTGTGAACTAGATTTTGAAGAACTAACGATTTTTTGATGTGGTGATAAATTTCATTTCTCGGACGCATACTAAAATGCATTTTGGCTGAGATTGGAAAAACATAACCTCAATCAAAATGTCATTTCGCGATATTCAGTTGTCTTTGAAATGTAACTTCAAAAGGGAAAACTATTCCTAGCTGAAACCGTAAAAATTTCAGTGCTTTTAATTCTTGAATACATTTTTTCATTTAGGAGCAGAAAACAACAATGAAAACTTGTCTACAACTCCAGTCAGTAAGGAAAATGGTCAGTCATATTTGCCTATCATTCTGTCTTTGTGATCATTAGATCTTATTGATCAGCTTTTAGATTTCGAAAAATTTACAGCGTTGTGCTAAGCTTTTATTGTAATCAACAGTTATTCTAGGATATGACTTGTATTAAAGATATCAAAAAATCACAAACAATTCGAATAAAATCAAGTTTCGCATTTCTGATGTATCGATAGCCCAATGTACCGAGGTACCTTCAACTAACTTAGCAGGAGACTCTTTCATTGCGCTTTTCATCCATTCAACAATTCAATGAGATTCGACGGGATTTTCGGAATCATGGAAAATTGGATTCTTCGCAAGAATGTTTGAATGTTCTTTTATTACAGTTCCAAATAGAGGTTATGATAACATGACATTCACTCAAATTGAAGGTACGGGAAAAATTGGAGCTCGACGAAGATCTGCTTGTATTATTGTGGCTTTCGAAACATTATAATTTTATAACATTACATTCTACAACCCAGTCCATTCCTTTTCATTCAGGTACTGCCAATAACAACAATGTGGCCCATAAGCCGCTCCTGGATGAGGATCTACAAACGAAGAAAGCTCGATTCTCGCGTAAATACAGCACTGCCTCTTTACTAGGTACGGAAGTGTACTGAACTTTGAAAGAAAAATTTTTGGAAACAAGTGGCTAGCAATCGTAAACATTGATCCAAAACAAGAATTCCATAATAGAGTGATGGATGTTGTGTTCCCACTCCTCTATTTAAAAAGATCAAAGTAAGGAGGCTGAAACATATTCTGTTTCACCAGTTCTGTCCTAGACCTTATTAAAGGGAAATCAGTTATTGAACTTGTTGCTTGGCTTCATGTGGTCAGATTTGAGGATGATATATTTGTTTTATGGTAAAATAACGTAATCTTATTTCATAGCAACTCAGTATTGTTCATGAACCATCTGCGTCTTCATCATGTGCTTAACCATTCTGCGCATTCTTCTCATTATATTCATCTCGAGACAGTTGGAAAAAATGAATCCTAGTCTTGTGAACATCAAAAATTTTATATAAACGTAGCTGATAATTTCGTTGATAGTTTTAATGGACTTTTTTGCACTCGTATTGGTATTCAGGTCCATGTTATGTACTTCAACTTCATAAGAAAGGGATTAATTGAATCAAATAATCAAACCAATAGGATTACAACAAAATGCTAAGAGCTTTTTTATCGTCATGAACGCTTTCTTATTCTGATCTATGGAAAAACCCCATTCTTCCACTTTTACTGGAACGTAGACAATTCGTTGCGAACTTTATTAGGAAAACATGATTTTCCGGAACCACGGTTCCGTCTAATGTTTACGGTTGAAAAATTTCAAGTTTTTCATGTAATGTATTGAGATAGTAGTTTTGTGACTGATGGACTACAACGGTCAATTCTGAGCCTCACACACCAAAAAAATGGAAAGTAAAAAAGCATTTCCAGGGCAGAAGTCATGGTTGGACGAACAGCGGCGGGTTTTCATAGCAGGAGTTCTGTTCTTCGTTTTATACATCCTGTTGTCGTCGGTTCTGTTCTCCATTTCGACTGAATTTGACTATTTCACTTCTGTATACTTCCTCTTCAATAGTGTAGCTCTTATCGGTGAGTATTTTCGATAATGTGGAATGGTGCGTACTGGTGAATTCAATCAGAATACCCTACAATTAGATTGCAGTTTAAAATTGTAAACATCCGAACTATAACTATTTTAGGGTTTGGCGACGTTTTCCCACGGGAACCGAGGACAATACTCGTTAATGCAGTATTCATTGTTTTTGGTGAGTTCTTTTTTAGCACAGTTCAGGCAAACATCGGTGACGTGCAATAAAAAATCGACCTTTTGTATGTACGTCACGTCTCTCAGTCGCACTCAGTGGCAAAGAAAATGAACATTAGTGTAGCTCCTTTATAAGGAGACACAGTATTCTGCTTGTGGGTTGATAACAAAACAACGAAAAGTTATAATTTTCAAACTACATAAGTGGAAAAACGAAAAAAACTGCAAGGAAATCATACAATGATCCTTTTTGCACCACTACGGTATCGTGCTATATATGCGACTTGTTTAAAGGACTTCTCGTACGCGAAATGTCTTTCCTCTTCACAAGGCTAGGGATTTGTAAAATAGCGCTGCAGGGGGTTTCTTGCAGCTAGAGGGTAGCATTGGGTTACGGTAACCTGTATGTAAGGGCAGGGCCGTGGAGGACTCCTCCCCCCTCCCCGGTTGGGCCACGAAAATTTTGGAGTCTGCATTGCCCGTAAAAATGTGCAGAGGACTGCTTTTACTTACAAGTAGTTGAAACAATTTTTTAAAGCTTTCTAAAACTTGGAATTGATGAATTTTCGGCTCAAGCCACGCCCCCTCGCGCAAAAAAAATTCTTGTCGCTCTTTCTCATCCTGAAAAAAAATTTCTGGGACCCGCTGGTGAGGGCTCAAAAGCGTTTCATATCGGTCTAATAAATTAGGTAATGAGGAGTTCAAAATTTGTCATTTTAGGCGTAGTGTTGTTCTCGATGTGCTACTTCATTCTCCAAGAAGAGATACGTAACAAAGCATTCGAAGCCTCGCGAAAAGCTCGAATCTCAATCTCCAAATACTCTCATACCATCTTACAGCATGCCTCACGGTAAGCTTTGATAAATTTGATTTGCCCTATGTTTTTTCTAAGGCGAAAAAAAGAAGCATACGCTAAATTTCAGGGGTGCATGGTCACGACGAAATTCACCTTTGCTTGACGCTTCTCCGGAAAGTGCATTTGAACGGTTGCGGAAGCGACGCCAGTCCGCGCCGGTGTTGACGCTTACCGTACCAACGGAAGGCTCTCGAGAAGCATAGTGCAGTCAGAAAGGAATTACATAATAATTCTCATGATGGAGAAGAATTCGTCAAATAATTCACTTACTCTACTCGTTGACAGGTTCTAGTTTTCAATTCCGAGTGTTTAGTTAAGCTGCTACTGCAATAAACAAGTGTTCACTACTTCTGAGATTCTAGAGTTGTCTACCTGATAATAGATGGTATAAGGTTGTTATTTGTACGTGTTTTGTGGTACAAGGACGTGTAATTGCAGAATTAGTGGAGATTCATGCATGTCAACGTCTCATTGTATGCCTTATTTCTTTCAATGATGTGCAAATTCGACTATTCGCTCATTGTTTTGCTCTATATGTGGGTACATTCTTATTGTTGGATCAACATACAATCCGCGCGAAGTATCGCTCGCTCCTCCGATATTTGTCATAATTTCTGTATAATAAATTACGCGCTGAGAGTAACATATTGCTTGTGTAGTAGTTCGCATAATTGAGCAATACAGTGCTGTCAGCAACATATATCTGTCCTTGTCTCACTGTTCTGTTCACCGGTCTCTAAAGAGCATGAGCTCTATACTGCACATGCTATTTACAGATTATTCATAATAAATGTTTCATATCGTCTTTCTAGAGCACCCGAAATTTTTTCCAGTAGGGTTTTCAAAGCTGATTTCATCAGTAGAATTTGTGTATTTTTAACAGTTTAAGTACTGTAACAATTTTTAGGAAATGAATTTCCGTCTATAAAGTAGTTGTGCAAAGCAATGTATTTCAGTAGTTTAAACAAATTTTTTTACGAGGGTTTATCAGAAGATATAGCACATTTCATCGTGGATAACTCCTTAGTCTCAAATTCCTTCAAATTCTCAAAAAAAGAATCTTGAAGGCTGGCTTTAGCTTAGAATGACAGCACGGCAGCCCTTTATCACTATACGATGCTTTAGGGCGAGTTTCGGAAAAATTTCGAGAATTTATAACGCCTAAAAACAAATTCGGCAAGATTTCTAAACTCGCTGATTTCATCATTTAACATTGAGTATCCGCAACAGTTCAAGCTATGTCAAATTTTCAATGATTATCGAGAAGGGGGTTGCTAAGGTATTAGCATAACTTTACAGCTACAAGTTACTGCTATCCATATTTAGAGACAGCGAACCCAACTTGCTTAGTAAAAAGTTTTTTCGCACTTCGCGGTCTTTTTCAAAGCAAGATCTGGCTGTCACCGCAAACTCCTTTTAAGGTGCCTACCGTAGTCTTATCACTGAAAAGCGAGCAGTAGGTAATTTTGCGTTGCAATTCTAGATCCAGCTCTATAATATCGGTGTTGAAGGTCACCATTAGATTACGAAACCCAAGATTTACTGACGATCATACAATGTGGACACTTTTGGGACACCCTCTATGTCAGCTGCACCCAGTTGATCATCATGTGATATGAGCAATAACAAGATCTTAATGACGCATGTACAAGCTAACATCGTTCTCGGCGGGAAAAAACGATAGTATCTAGTTTGCCCGGACATACAAGTAAAAAATTCTTTGATCTTCAGTTGTTTCGTTAAGTTCACAAATGTCAACAGCATCATGGACACTTATTGTAAGTCCAGTCACACAACTTGCGTTGTGTGCTGTGAACTTTCATTTTCATTCTGATAACTAAGCTATATGAGACTTTAGTAGAACAAAAAGCGATTATGCTGTCGGCGTCAGTAAAATAAATGAAGCAATTGGAGAATACTTTGTTTTAGAAGTTAAGTACATTTGAACACAAAAAACTTGAGCATATTACAGGTAGCTTAGGGATATGGCTTTATCACTGAACATACGGCCATCACAGCAAATACAAATTCATAGTGTGAGCCACATTCTTTATGAGGTGAAAAGCTCAGCTGTTAGTATCGAGATCTCTTCAAGATCTCCTTAAGTAATTTCGATGATATGTTGAAAGGCGCCTAGATAAAGTTTGCATAATCGCTCACTTGTGAAATTTTTTCACTTATCTCCACTATTTACTTTTTCGGAAAGCGCGTCCAGTCAAACCTTGGGGAAATCTCTTTCACAATTTGATTTCACTGGAGAAGAGGCAAAGATGAAGGATTGCCTTCAACCATTCACTTGATTAGCTCTTGAAATTAACGCATCACAACACTACTCCTACTGTAGCGGCTTTATCGATCGTATCTAATGGTTTGGTGTCATTGCTTCTACAGCAGTGAGTTACCCTTCTCCCACATTATTTAGGTTGAACCGAAAGTTCTGTCGCTTTTATTGTGAAAGATTCGCAGCTCCTTATGTGAATGTATTTGCATACAAATGATTTCATCGAAAGAAAAGTTTATTCACTTTTTAACAATTTCTTTGCGGCTCTTTGACGACAAGGGACTCCAGAGATACGAATTTGAATAGTAGAACCACTCTAATTCTGAATGGAATATAATTCGTCAAAAATTTGAAACGCTGCGAAAAAAATCGGAAGCATGCCTTTTACAGTTTATGTAAGCTGCTCCTTCTAACAGTGCCGAGTTTGTGCTGATCGAGCTTTTCTATGAAAAGTAATGATTCTTGTGAAAAATGCAAAAAGCGGCAAAATTGACGTTTTCTGCACTTCTCTGCATTTTTCACGAAAATCATAATTTTTTATTGAAAAAGCGATCAGCACAAATTTGGCACTGTTAGAAAAAGCAGCCCATGCAAACTTTACAAAACATGCTTCCAAATTCTGCAATGAGAATTTCGACGATTTATTTTCGAAAATCGAGAGTCAGAGTGGTTCTCCAATCCGAATTTCTGTGTCTGGAGTCCCCTGTCGTCAAAGAATTACAACGATGTTATTAGAAAGTAGATGAACTTTTCCATCTAGTGGTATTTTTTGTAAGTGAATACATTCAGATAAGGAGCAGTTACGAATTCTCCAAAATCAATACGACAGAACTTTCGGTTCAACCTTGTAGATTCCTTCCAGGGAACCACTCGATAGTGCAAAGCAAGCTCTATCAGATCGTCTTCAAATATTCGCACCAACCGTGATCTTTGCGATGTTTGAAGCCAGAAACTGAAAAGAATCAACTACCCATATATAGAGAGAAAATTATGACTCCTTTGAACAAAATTCTACGATTGTGTACCTTCCCCATTCACATGTGTTCCTGTATTTTTTTCCTGTGCTAGAAGTCAAGAAATTGGAAATTTTCGTGTTTTAGCTCAAACTGTACTGGCTGTCCCTGCCTAGGCGAATCTACAGCATGAACCTACATAAGTATAACATTATAACCATAAATTTCCAACTTTCTACGAGCCTTAGGGTTCGAGAAATGTCGAACCTAAAAAGAGACATTTTCTGGGTTTCTCCTTACTTTTGCCCATTCTTTTTTCTCACTTTATTGTCACAGAAGAAATGCAGCATGGTCCATATAATTCTCTCATGTTGAGAATATATGCTGAGCAATTAGGACGTCCGCACGATTTTTAGACGAAGATGTGATTTTTTCGATTTCTTGGCATATGAAGTATTTGGCTTCAAACATAGCTTACTGAAGCAGGTGCGGAAGTTTGAATAGCACACTGTAGAGCTCTATCCAGTGGCTTCCCGGAATCTGTCTCAAACGTAGGAGAAATATGACTTATTTCGTTTAGTCTGATTTGGCGCAAGACTATGGACCAACCTGATTAATAGACCGTGCAGACTGGATGCAGTATGTTTACTTTTCTGAAAAACAGAGCAGATAGGAAAACCACATATGTGAACAGCACTCTAATCCCAGTATACTTACATTTCAAAAGAGGCCATGTCGACTCAAGTTGACAAAGGAATGCTTTAGTGCAACATACACAATAATGTTGATGACCTTCATCCCTTTTCATGTATAATATGCAAGTAACAACAAACAAATTTTTCGATCGAGAATTTTGGAACAAAACGTCAAGAATCAAAGATATAAATTGGCGACAAGCAATCATTCGTTAAGAAACATCTGAAATTGACAAAATGTTAATAAACATGCACATAGAGCGCAAAGAACAGCGAATACAGGGCGTAAAAATTTCTCCAAGCGCGATTTCGTATAACAGAGTTGGAAGACTTGTCCCAGTAGGGCGGACTATGGTCTTCTGGGATTCCTCGTGAACGGACGTTTTAACGAGTCTGAGAGTGAGACACAATAAGTTTGAGTATGAAATAAGGAACAATGGACTTGATTTATATTGCGGATGCGTAATTTTACAGATACGGCAGACCATTTTGATACGATCATTTGCTGCATTATGCTCTTTGAATCTATTAGGGTGTCCCATGATTTTTTACCGTTTTTACCCCAAACGTCAGCATTTCTCGAGAATTGGGACACCTTCAGAGGGTATAAACATATGATTGTACTTCTGTATGTAAGAGCTATATGATCACGCGCGTGAGAGAAGCTCAGGACGTCTCGGGGCAGAGTCTGTCATCTCCGTTCATTTTTTCATTTTTTTTCCGTTCATTTCATCAGCAGCAACTATTTGTACTTGGATAGAAGGAGCAGGCTATAAACTCTAACCCAAAACTAAAATTAGATTTCTGTAGACTTCGTGTTAGCAATTTTCGCGAACAGGGCTCGGCACAGCTGGACCAGTCAAGGGATATCGCATTTGGAACAAAAAGCAAAGGGGATATCGTTTTTATGGCCAAAAAGACACAAAAACTGAGATGTTTTTTAGTCGACGTTTCGTTTTTTGAGGTTTTTACGTTAAGGGTTTAGGGTGAAAGGAAACTTTGTACGAAATTTTCAGGATCGAAGGGAACTTCGTTTTGAATTTTCCTTGGTGCCAGCTCGTGCCGAGCCCTGTTCGCGAATGTACATCGATAAACCGCTTTCTACTCCTCTATATCATCTTGTTATAGCCATTATAACGAAGAATTTTGATTTAGGCGCTTTTAAAAATTGCAAGATTTTCTTTTTTTCATGTATGGAACTGAACTAGTTTGCCACACTTAAAGGACCTTTCGAATGTTAGAAATTTTGCTGCAAGAGTCATTTATCAAACATCATATACCAAGAAAAATGTTTTCTAATTTTATAAAAATTTTCGCTTCAACCTGAGATGCGATAAAACATGTTATGATTAGTCTTTCTTACCCATCCACATGCTCCTTTTGTTTTCATCCAATCTGCCTTATACCTCCTTCCGTTCAGTTACACCATAGTTCGTTCTAACATCAAAAACATGTTTGTTAGTTAGCAATGACATATCCTTCATGTTCCAAACAGAAACCTCTTGTTTTAAATTTTCATTTGATAACAAACATCAGCATAAATTATCTTTATTCTTGGCTTCTGCGACTGCATGTTCTGATATTAATGCTACAATAAGTGTCGACTTCGAGCAAACTTCCAATATTCAGGTTCACAACTGAGAAAAACACGTCTTTTTCACCTCTTTTATATACTGGTTTTGCCAATATATACAGTTCTAGGAGCTTGGATATTCAAGGTAAGAAATACGATTTGTGACGTTTTCATGAATTGTTGAGCTCAACGAATATTATTGTTAATGCTATGAATTTAACACCTAGTTTATAGACTCTTGATGGTGAGCACGACGACAAGAAGATGGAGGAGTTCAGAAATAGGTTTGTTTAAGTGACCTTTCAATTGTTTCCAAAATTTCCACAAAATCTTTGAAAGATTGTCCTTAAAAGGTAATAAGACGCCCTTGAAATTGTGTCCTTTGAAATTTGACCAAAATAGTTTTTTTTTTCTCGAAGAAGAAGATAAATGAAACATAATGAGGGACGCTAAGTGTATTAGTCAGGCTTTAGAGCCAAGCGTTCTATGGCACATCTCTCTAACGAGCCGTTTTTATGTTGAAGGTTGTATTTCTTGTCCCATTTCATCCGAAAAAAATCAGGCTCTATAATTTCCGCATCGCTCTCACGGTTTCACGGAAAAAGACGGCAACACTAAAAGCCATAGTCGAGGGTAATAGGGTAAAATCCAAAGCCTTTTTGCTTTCTGTATCTCGGAAATCTTGTTTACGTTCTGGCTTACCCGCTAAATGTTAATGAATGTGGAAGATATGCAGGGATTGAGAGAATGCACAGAAAGATGCTGATGATGTGAATGGGGAAACATAAATTTTTTTGTAAGTTGGAAAATTACCAGCAAAGCTATTTCCTGATAGGGGTAGCTTAGTGGTATAAAAATCTGAAAACGGGGGGTAATGAAACGTTGCGTACGGCACTTCAACTGCAAAAAATGAAGAGACTGAAAATGAAACCCGAAATTGAATGTTGAAAGCGAATAAGTCGGAAATCAAAACTAAAAATAGAACATTTATATCATTCACTTCGGTTGTACTACCTAAATGAGTGTTTTTTTTTGCAATTTCAAAAAATAGATCAGCCGAATTTTCCTACCAATATCCATTTCAGATGTGATCTTTCACGCAATGCAACTTTGACAGAAATTATGTCATTGTGCGAAGCCGGAGGAAATTGCTTTAATTTGATGAAATCCTATCTAGAAGAGGTGGAACGATGCTACAAGAAGTAAGTTTTGTAAATTTTGCCAAGGAAATATCAAAAGTATGAAAATGTCAATGTTTGTTTCAGCTGGCACTTGGTAAATAGGACAATCACACATTCTATGAACGACTTCACAAATGCTCTTGTTTATGCCTTCAGGTAAGGTATTTTCGAGTTTACTTGAAACTTCTGCTCGAGTTTTGTCTCTTCATTTTTGAGGCCTAAAGTTTTGCTGTCCTTGCTTCTCAGTAGAGACGTAGTGCATTCTATAGAAGCCAAATTTTATTTTTCAATGTACTGGTGCAAAATTTGAACACAATTTCATTTCTGCACCAAATGATTAGGCATTCAACAACTCTGATCCTCATGGGAAAATATTCTTTCAGTTATAAACTTCATCCTTCACAACTTTATTATCCGTGTTTCAAGCCCAAATCCTCATCATCTTCAGCTTGTAAGAGTGGTCAAACTCTTTTTTCCTTCCTCCGTTCCTTTTGATTAGGACATCCAGCCATATGAGACTCAAAACAACACATCTGCACTTGACAGTTTCTATATTCGCCAGCGATCCGTAGTTGATTAGCAGCTATGAGATCTATGAATTAGAATCGTGGCAATGGAAGGACTTCCGTATCTCTAGAAGGAAATCCATGTGCTGGAATTTTGCCTTTGTTCTTGCGAATCGTGTCACTTTGTTATCGACTTTTTCTGGTATATAGATCAAACTATAAAAGGTTTACAAAGTTTTGAATCATTTTATTCTGTCTATTGAGAATCCAAACTGTATTTGAAAGAATGACTGCCAGGCTGCCTTGTATATTTCAACTTTTCTGTTCTCGATTCACATTGATTTCGAAGAATTTGAAGCTAATATTTTAAGACTTGACCGAGCATGTTTTATATTTAATTGAAACGATGGTGATCAAAGTTACTTAAGATTGAAGAAAAATATGAAGAATTAAATTTTCTAGTGAAGAAAAAATGTGGCACAATCAGGGCTCGGCACTGCTGGCACCGAGTCAACGTGGATATCGTTATTGGGACAAAAAGCAAAGGGAACATCGTTTTTATGGCCGAAAAGACACAAAAATTGTGACGTTTTTAAGTCGGGTTTTAGTCAAAGTTTTCTTTTTTCTAAGGGTTTTTTACGTATAGGGTATAGGTCGAAGGGGACTTCGTACGAAATTTTCAAGATCAAAGGGGACTTCGTTTTAAAATTCCTCTTGTGCCAGCTCGTGCCGAGCCTTGGGACAACCTATATTCAAATATAAATAGCTGCTGTGATACATCACTTTAATCGGCTCTAGCTGGAGTACCATGGCTGCTACTATGATGGACTCACTACATTTTGCTAGCTTTTATACCTTTCCTTCGAAAAAGTGGTGCGTATAAGACTCAGCACTCATTAACTTTGCTTATAACTCTAACACAGCCCTAAATTCAATTTGTCATCATGCACTAAAAACTCTTCCGCATCCTTGAGATGAAGAGCGAATAATAATGATATTTCCATGTGGAAATGGAGAAAAGCACATTCTCGTTAGCTAGACATCTATCTTACCAGCTTCCTTGTTTTTCCCCTATATGAGCAAAAGATCACCATAACACACGATCAGAAGTTTGGTGACATTCACAGACAATGAAGTCTGGGGGTTTTTGCACAATAAGAAAAGCTTTTTACACTCTGTGACATTCTTTACTTAGAATTTCCTTATTGTCCGTTAACAACTGTACATACGAATGTTACTGCGCAATAACAAGAAAATTTAGCAAAAAACGACGTACTCTCATAGGGAGTGCCTCTTAAATATTCATGAGATGACTATAATAATTTGTTGCTATGGAGTTTGTTGAAGACTGTGATAAGTACTGTTGGAGATTTTTAACAACAAACATATCCACAAAGTTCATTCATTTCAAAAAAAGTGCTGTAACATCAAAGTTGTTATATTGCTTTCAAATAAGCCCGAGCTTAATAAGCTTTACACATTCTGAGACAGCAAATTCAACATTTAAAATATCTTTTCTCAACACACGTACTATTAGAATCAGGGTCGTCCTTGCTTTCGATGCCTAGATATTTTTATTATAATCTGTGGTGTATTGCACTCTACCTACCATTAAGCGATTTTTGTTAGTATCATGTTCTCCTTCGTTAGGCAAAAAAGTGTTGATTATTCAAAACTATTATCGAAGGCAAGAAAAGAAAAATCCACACCTACATCAATAATATTATAACTTGAATAATTTAACATTGTTGCAAGAAGGAAAGCAAGAAAATGGAAAATCGGAAAATGGAAACTAGGTTGTGTTTGAAATTACAAAATCAGATAGTTTCCGTATCAGAAACCAATCTGTTCAGGATTTCCACTCACTTCTTGTCAACAAAAACGCTGTCCATCTCTTCTGTTAGCTTGTAAAGAAAGTTCCGGGAATTTTTCGAAATTTCATTTTCTGAGGACTGGCAACAAGTTTTCAATGCTGTTCAGTAGAGGAAACCAAAAATTTTCCAGAATCGAAAAGCCAACAAGACAATTTTTTGTTTAGATGAAACTGTCTTTGCACAGAAATTTGTAGCTCTGAAAATTTGCTTGAAGTTACAGCGATTGAATAAAATTTTTATCGCAAGCGCCCCTGAATTTCTTTACGACCTAATAGTTTACAGAAGAACTATGATTTATAAAAAATCTCACTGTTTTCGTTGCTATGCTCTGATAAGAGATGGACAGTTTTCCTGGAGGCCATTTTGACAGGAAGTGCACTCAAATCTTGAGTTTTTCACAACGTGAGAACTACTTGAATTTTCCCGTTTCAAACACAACTTATCATTAGGGAAGAATATGGTTCTATGGTAGCATTGTATCACATCGATAAGATCGGCGGTATGGCTGTACACGGGTTATGACGTGGAGAACGATTTATTTGCATGAGATTAATTCTTCGTATTTTACTCCTTTACATATTATCTAGAAAATGAAAATGTAACAAACGTCGTACACCCCTGAACTCTTTTGAAGGCTTAGGTAAGTAGTGTTGGACTCCAACAACAGAAAAAACTGGTTCATTTTATTGAAAACTGCTTTGGCAGTGTTGATAAAGGCGTGCTTACTTTTTTTAGAATAAATTTCGAGAGGGTAAAATCATCTCTATCTCCTGGCACTGTGGATGACGTGTACTAGTAGGCCCAAAGTCATCCTGCATACATGTAACCAATAGCGTACCCAGAATTTCCGTTCGGGGGGGGGGGGGGGGGAGGGGGGGGGAACAAAAAATTTTCCGGATAAAGGTGCGTGGCGTTATCCATGCACAAAAATTTCTCTGATGCTTTCTAAGATTTTTGCGGGCCTGGGACCTCGAAATTTCAGGAGAGGAGAGAAAATTTCAAAAAATCTCTTCACAAGGCTAATTTAAAATTTTAAGACGTTTTCAAAATTATCCTAATTATTTACAAGTAAAAAAGTCGCTTGCCCATTTTTATAGCACATTTGATTGACTTTCGAAAATTTCGCGACCCATTCTCGCGGGGGGGGGGGGGGGGGGAGGGGGAGGAATAACGTTCAGTTTGAGAGTAGTTTTCTTTTCAATCTCGTTGAATAACTTCAACCTGCCTTTTCTCGATCCTCATGAAACTATGTTCATTTCTTCCGTTAGGAAAAAGAAGAGTTGAGCATTTAAATCCATAAAATTGACAAAAAAAAAGAAACTGTCCATAACAACTTCAACACTATGAAAGCATAACTTGAACATCTATCAGTACTATTTGCTAGAAGATATAGTGTATACATATGTGCACACGTTTGCAACAGAACAAGGAAGGTGCCTCACCTCCTAGTTATAAACCGCATTTGAAACGGGAAAATTCTTCAGTCTTCGGAAGCCGATCTTCCTAACAAGGAAAGGATACTCGGTGACCGTGGTCATCAGAAATGGGATGTATACCGTAAGATGCATCTCGAAATGCTGATTCTAAATCTGTGCTCGATATCTGCGAAACGATTTTCTGAAGGAAGTTATGAACTTTTTTTCGTAGGAAATTTGAGTACTTTTGGGTAGTAAAAATCACCAAATTCATTCTAGCTTACCGTTTGAAGCTGTTGAAAGGAATCTTAGAAGGTTCACTGTTGTATTACACCTATCTAAATCATATTCAGCATTTGAGAGGGAGAAAAACTTTTATCAATGATTTTCACTATCCGCAGCAACGCAATTTATTTATGAAAAAAATAATCATAACTCCATCCAGATCATCGCTTCGCAGATAAGGAAGACAGTTTTTGAACCAGCATTAAAAGGCGCATTTTTTGATATACAAGTCATTATGAATGGCCACGGTCACCAAGTATCCTTCCCTTGTAAGATTTCTGTGCACTTTTCCTCAGGAAGGCCTTAAAAAGTTGTCTATCTCTTATCTTTCTACGTTCAAGTATTTTTTTTGAAGAAACTGTGTTATATAAGTAGTCTATTGAATTCTTCTTATCACAGGCAAAATAAAGAAAAAGTTTGAACAAGGATTGTAGCAAACGTTAGAACTCCGGTATCACAAAATGAAACTATTCCTGATTTTTGATAATGTGCACATAGGATTGCGGAATAAAGAATGTTGTGAAATTCCATAGTGATGAGCTGCTACTGAAATGCGAAGATTGAATTTTAAATTTGGCTTTTCCCAAAATTTCTGCGCACATCTCGCCTTCACAAAAGTTTTCCATCTCCTATATATATATATGTACAATCGCGTTCTACACGTTTATTTTATAGGAAGCATGATTCAGTTTTGTTCTTGTTAATGTGAATAGGTAAAAGAACGACTTACTCAGAAGCCATTCTGGCAGGATGTGCGCAAAAAAACTTGATTTCCCCTCAAAGTGAAAAATATTTGAATTTTCCCGTTTCAAATGCAGCTTATTAATAGAGAAGAAGGTGGGTCTTCGATCTTAGCTAGCTTTTCGCACCAGCTCCCATGTATTATGCATAATATGCTGCAGGTATCCAAATATCGCTCATCCCCAACTAAATCGTATTTTTTCAGTGTTTACACTACAATAGGTTACGGGAATATGGCTGCCGACACGACTCAATGTCGAGTGGCTACCATTATTTACGGGGCGTTTGGTAAGTAGCCCTGCTTACAACAAAAATCTGTACATTTAGCAGGGTATTTTCAGGTATACCGTTATTTTTTGCGTTTGTAAAAGAAGAGGGTAATCTCTTCCGAAATGTGTTCATTTCTATTTATAATCGCATTATTGAATGGCGACGAAAACATTGTGGATGCCATTATGGAGGTTAGTCATTTTTTTTACAAAGTAGTTCCTTTTCCATGGAAGTGTATAGTAAGTAAGACTGTTTTTTTCCGCTATGCACTTCGACTTTTAACTCTGTGAACTAGTTTTTGAAGAACTAACGATTTTTGATGTGGTGATAAGTTTCCATTCTCGGACGCATACTAATGCATTTTGGCTGAGATTGGAAAAACATAACCTTAGCCAAAATTTGTCATTTCGCGATATTCTCTTGCCTTTGAAATGTATATTCGAAAGGGGAAAACTACTTCCTAGCTGAAACAGTAAAAATTTCAGTACTTTCAAATTCTAAATACATTCTATTTAGGAGCAGAAAACAACAATGAAAACTTGTCTACAACTCCAGTCAGTAAGGAAAATGGTCAGTCATATTTGCCTATCATTCTATCTTTGTGATCATTAGATCTTATTGATCAGCTTTGAGATTTCGAAAAATTTACAGCGTTGTGCTAAGCTTTTTATTGTAATCAACAGTTAATCTAGGATATGACTTGTATTAGAGATATCAAAAAATCACGAACAATTCGAATAAAATCAAGTTTCGCATTTCTGATGTATCGATAGCGCAATGTACCAGAGTACTTTCAACAAACTTAGCAGGAGTCTCTTTCATTTCGCATTTCATCCATTCAACAATTTAATGAGATTCGACGGGATTTTCGGAATCATGGAAAATTTGGATTCTTCTAAAGAATGTTTGAATGTTCTTATATTACAGTTCCAAATAGAGGTTATGATAACATTACATTCACTCAAATTGAAGGTACAAAAAATTGGAGCTCGACGAAGACCTGCTGATATTATTGTGGCTTTCGAAACATTATAATTCTATAACATTACATTCTACAACCCAGTCCATTCCTTTTCATTCAGGTACTGCCAATAACAACAATGTGGCCCATAAGCCGCTCCTGGATGAGGATCTACAAACGAAGAAAGCTCGATTCTCGCGTAAATACAGCACTGCCTCTTTACTAGGTACGGAAGTGTACTGGACTTTGAAAGAAAAAATTTTTGGAAACAAGTGGCTAGCAATCGTTAACGTTGATCCAAAACAAGAATTCCATAATAGAGTGATGGATGTTGTGTTCCCACTCCTCTTCTTAAAAAGATCAAAGTAAGGAGGCTGAAACATATTCTGTTTCACCAGATCTGTCCTAGACCTCTTTAAAGGGAAATTAGTTATTGAACTTGTTGCTTGGCTTCATGTGGTCAGATTTGAGGATGACATATTTGTTTCATGGAAAAATAACGTAATCTTATTTCATAGCAACTCAGTATTGTTCATGAACCATCTGCGTCTTCATCATGTGCTTAACCGCGCATTCTTCTCATTATATCCATCTCGAGACAGTTGGAAAAAATGAATCCTAGTCTTGTGAACATCAAAAATTCTATATAAACGTAGCTGATAATTTCGCTGATAGTTTTAATGGACTTTTTTGCTCTCGTATTGGTATTCACGTCCATGTTATGTACTTCAACTTCATAAGAAAGGGAGTAACTGAATCAAATAATCAAACCAATAGGATTACAACAAAATGCTAGGAGCTTTTTTATCGTCATGAACGCTTTCTTATTCTGATCTATGGAAAAACCCCATTCTTCCACTTTTACTGGAAGTCGTAGACAATTCGCTGCTAACTTTATTAGGAAAACATGATTTTCCGAAACCACGGTTCCGTCTAATGTTTACGGTTGAAAAATTTCAAGTTTTTCATGTAATGTATTGAGATAGTAGTTTTGTGACTGATGGACTACAACGGTCAATTCTGAGCCTCACACACCAGAAAAATGGAAAGTAAAACAAGCATTTCCAGGACAGAAGTCATGGTTAGACGAACAGCGGCGGGTTTTCATAGCAGGAGTTCTGTTCTTCGTTTTATACATCCTGTTGTCGTCGGTCCTATTCTCCATTTCGACTGAATTTGACTATTTCACTTCTGTATACTTCCTCTTCAATAGTGTAGCTCTTATCGGTGAGTATTTTCGATAACGTGAAATGGTGCGTACTGGTGAATTCAATCAGAATACCCTACAATCAAATTGCAGTTTAAAATTGTAAACATCCGGACTATAAACTATTTTAGGGTTCGGCGACGTTTTCCCACGGGAACCGAGGACAATACTCGTTAATGCAGTATTCATTGTTTTTGGTGAGTTCTTTTTTAGCAGAGTTAAGGCAAACGTCGGTGACGTGCAATAAAAAAACGACCTTTTGTATGTACGTCACGCGCTATCTCAGTCGCACTCTGTGGTAAACGAAAAACAATGCTGTAGCTCCGGGAGACATAATATTTGGCTTGTGGGCCGGCAATAAAACAACTAGAACTTATAGAAGTTCAAACTACATTGGAAAGAAGAATAAAATAACTGCATTATCGAAATCATAAGATGACCCTCTTTGCACTACTACAGTATCTCCGCGCTATGTGCGACCCGTGTAGAGGACTTCTCGCATGCAAAATGTCCTTTCCTCTCCTTCAAAATACGGCTGAGTTGCAGAATAGCGTTGCAGTGGTTTCTTGCAGCTAGGGGATGCATTGGGTTACTGTAACCTGTATATAGGGGCAGGACCGAGGAGGAAGCCCCTCCCCCCTCTCCACAACAAGTTTGTAAAATTTTTGAAGCTAGTTTATCCACATAAAACTTTGCAGGTGACTTACTTCTGCTCGTAAATGATTGAAATAATTTCGAATGTTCTGTAGGAGTTCAAATTTCATACCATACCGTGTCCAAGGACAGACTGACAATTTCTTGAAAAACATGTCTCATCCCACAACTTTTTTTTTGAAAAATTCCTGTCGCCCCTCCTTCATCCTAAAAAATTCTGGGACACCAATTATAGGACATGAAGTGGCTGTATAACTTTCTCATGACACAGCTGATAAAAATAACTCAGAAAACTTTGTTTAAGGCGTAGTGTTGTTCTCGATGTGCTACTTCATTCTCCAAGAAGAGATACGTAACAAAGCATTCGAAGCCTCGAGAAAGGCGCGTATTTCGATCTCGAAATACTCTCACACTATATTACAGCATGCCTCACGGTAAGCTTTGAATTCTGTGGCCTTTCAAAGCAGGTCCAGAAATATGGAAAAATTTTCAGGGGTGCATGGTCACGACGAAATTCACCCTTGCTTGACGCTTCTCCGGAAAGTGCATTTGAACGGTTGCGGAAGCGACGCCAGTCCGCGCCGGTGTTGACGCTTACCGTACCAACGGAAGGCTCTCGAGAAGCGTAGTGCAGGTGTCAGAAAGGACTTACATAATAATTCTCATGATGGAGAAGAATTCGTCAAATAATTCACTTACTCTACTCGTTGACAGGTTCTAGTTTTCAATTCCGAGTGTTTAGTTACTGCTACTGCAATAGAAACAAGCGTTCACTACTTCTGAGATTCTAGAGTTGTCTACCTGATAATAGATGGTATAAGGTTGTTATTTGTACGTGTTTTGTGGTACAAGGACGTGTAATTGCAGAATTAGTGGAGATTCATGCATGTCAACGTCTCATTGTATGCCTTATTTCTTTCAATGATGTGTAAATTCGACTACTCGCTCATTGTTTTGTTCTATATGTGGGTACATTCTTAATGTTGGATCAACATAAAATCCGCGCGAAGTATCGCTCGCAGCTCCGATATTTGTCATAATTTCTGTATAATAAATTACGCGCTGAGAGTAACATATTGCTTGTGTAGCAGTTCGCATAATTGAGCAATACAGTGCTGTCAGCAACATATATCTGTCCTTGTCTCACTGTTCTGTGGACCGGTCTCTAAAGAGCATGAGCTCTGTACGGCACATGCTATTTACAGATTATTCATAATAAATGTTCTCCATATCGTGCATTCGTAATAAATGTTTCATATCGTCTTTCTAGAGCAGCTGAAGTTTTTTCCAGTAGGGTATTCAAAGCTGATTTCATCAGTAGAATTTGTGTATTTATAACGGTTTAAGTAGTGTAAGAGTTTTTAGGAAATGAATTTCCTTCTATTCAAGTAGCTGTGCAAAGCAATGTATTTCAGTAGTTTAAACAATTTTTTTTACATAGAGGGTTTATCAGAAGATATAGTACATGTTTCATCGTGGATAACTCCTTAGTCTCAAATTCCTTCCTATTCTCAAAAAAAGGATTCTTGAAGGCTGGCTTCAGCTTAGAATGACAGCACGGCGCCCTTTATCACGATACGGTTACGGTGGCAGCTTTCAGTACGGTAGCTTTAGGGCGAGTTTCGGAAAAATTTCGAGAATTTATAACGCCTAAAAACAAATTCGGCAAGATTTCCAAACTCGCTTTCATCATCCAACAATGAGTATCCGCAACGGTTCAAATTATGTCAAATTTTCGATGATTATTGAGAAGAGGGTTGCTAAGGTGTACCTAACATAACTTTACAACTACAAGTTACTGCTGTCCATATTTAGAGACAGCGAACCCAACTTGCTTAGAAAAAGTTTTTCGCATTTCGCGGTCTTTTTTGAAGCAAGATCTGGCTGTCACTGTAAAGTCCTTTTAAGGTGCCTACCGTAGTCTTATCACTGAAAAGCGAACAGTAGGTGATTTTGCGTTGCAATTCTAGATCCAGCTCTATAATATCGGTGTTGAAGGTTACCATTAGATTACGAAACCCAAGATTTACTGACGATCATACAATGTGGACACTTTTGGGACACCCTCTATGTCAGCTGCATCCAGTTGATCTTCATGTAATATGAGCAATAACAAGATCTTGAAAAAGGCTCATATACAAGCTGGCATCGTCCTCAAAGAGCAAATAGGGAGAATATTCAAATTACCCGGACACAAGTAAAGAATTCTTTGATTTTCAATTGTTACATCAAGTTTACAAATGTCGACAGCATCATCAACACTTATTATTGTAGGTCAAGTCACACAACATTCGTTGTGTGCCGTGAACTTTCATTTTCACTCTGAAAACTAAGTTATGTGAGACTTTGGTAGAACAAAAAAGAGATTATGCTGTCGGCAACTGTAAAATAAACGAAGCAATTCGAGTTTCCTACATACCTTGTTTTAGGTACATTTCGAACACAAGAAACATGAGCACATTACTCGTGGGTTAGAGCTATGGCGTTATCATTAAACATACAACCATCACACAAAGAAAAATTCATTGTATAAGCCTACATTCTTTATTGGGGTGAGTTCAATTTCAGTATCGAGGTTATTCCGAGATCTTCCTTAGAAATCCCGATGACACGATGAGAGGAGCCTAGGTACATAAATCCGGCGTAATCGCTTCCTTGTAAAAACTTTGCTTATATTATCATTAACTACCTTTGAAAAGCTCTTGTCGTCAAACCTTAGAAATTTTCTTCAATTTGAGCTCACTGGAGAAGAGGCAAAAATGAAAGATTATATTCAACCGTCCACTTGAATGAGTTCTTGAAATCACTGCATCACAAAACTGTTCTTACTGTATCGGCTTTATCGACCGTACCTATTGGGTTGGTTCATCATTGCTTCATACAGAAGTGAGTTACCTTTCTCCTAATTATGATAAGTTGAACCGAAAGTTTTCCCTTTTTGATTATGAAAAATTCGTAACTGCTCCCCATTTGAATGTATTTGCATATAAATAATTTCATTCGAGGTAAAAATTCATTTACTTTATAATAACATCTCTGTGGCTCTTGACGAAGAACTCCAAAGATAAAAATTCGAATAGGAAAGCCACTCTGACTCTGGATTTTAGATCGTGAAAAATATCTCAGATTTTCTCCGGGAAACCACTCGATAGAGAAAGAAAGCTCTACCAAATCGTCTTCAAAGCGTACCAAATGTGACCCATGCGAATTTTGAAGAGAAAAACTAGAAAGGATCAAATGCCCATGTACAGAGAGAGAATCGCGACTCCTTCGAACAAAATTACGATGATCTTCCCCAACAGACATTCGCATGTACGGTTCCTGTATTTTTTAGGATAGGAGTCAAGAAATTGAAAATTTGCATGTCTTAGCTTCAGCTATGCTGGGCTGTCCCTGCCTAGGCAGATCTATGAACCTACATAAGTATAACCATAAATTTCCAACTTTCTACGAGCCTTAGGGTTCGAGAAATATCGAACCTAAAAAAGATATTTTCTGAATTTCTCCTTACTTTCGCCCATTCTTTTTCTCACTTTATTGTCACGGAAAAAATGCAGCAATGGTCCATATAATTCTCTCATGTTGAGAATATATGCTGAGCAATTAGGAGGTCCGCATGATTTTTAGACGAAGATGTGATTTTTTTCGATTTCTTGGCATACGAACTATTTCGCTTCAAACGTAGCTTGCTGAAGCAGGTGCGCAAGTTTGAATAGCACACTGTAGAGCTCTATCCAGTGGCTTCCCGGAATCTGTCTCAAACGTAGGAGAAATATGACTTATTTCGTTTAGCCTGATTTGGCGAAAGACTTATGGACCAACCTGATTAATAGACCGTGCAGACTGGATGCAGTATGTTTACTTTTTTGAAAAACACAGCAAATAGGAAAACCACATATGTGAACAGCACTCTAATTCCGGTATACTTACATTTCAAAAGAGGCCATGTCGACTCAAGTTGACAAAGGAATGCTTCAGTGCAACATACACAATAATGTTGATGACCTTCTTCTCTTTTCATGTATAATATGCGAGTAACAACAAACAAATTTTTCGATCGAGAATTTTGGAACAAAACGTCAAGAATCAAAGATATAAATTTGCGACAAGCAATCATTCGTTAAGAAACATCTGAAATTGACAAAATGTTAATAAACATGCACATAGAGCGCAAAGAACAGCGAATACAGGGCGTAAAAATTTCTCGAAGCGCGGTTTCGTATAACAGGGTTGGAAGACTTGTCCCAGTAGGGCAGACTATGGTCTTCTGGGATTCCTCGTGAACGGACGTTTTAACGAGTCTGAGAGTAAGACACAATAAGTTTGAGTAAGAAATAAGGAACTATGGACTTGATTTATATTGCAGATGCGTAATTTTACAGATACGGCAGACCATTTTGATACGATTATTTGCTGCATTATGCTATTTGAATTTAGGGTGTCCCATGATTTTTTACCGTTTTTACCCAAACGTCAGCATTTCTCGAGAATTGGGACACCTTCAAAGGGTATAAACATGTGGTTGTACTTCTGTATGTAAGAGCTATATGATCACGCGCGTGAGAGAAGCTCAGGACGCCTCGGGGCAGAGTTTGTCATTTTGCTCCATTCATTTTTTCTTTATTCTAACTATTGGAAAAATACAAAAAGTGTATAGTTAAATGTTCAATGTGTCAAGCATATGCTAGAATAAACGAGATTCTCAAAATTTTTTGGGGCCGAGATACGACTTTTTACAGAGAAGTTCGTTTTTGACTGCTATCAGATTTCAGTTCAAAACTTTATGTGAAATACGATTTGTGTGGACCCTTGATAGCCATCTTGAAGAGCTTGCTTTGCTCTGTCGAATGATTACTTGATTCACTTAGCTAAAAGAAAAGTTTCAAAAAGATGACGGTTGTAGCAAAAACGGTAAAAAATTATGGGACACCCTAATATATAGCTTGCTCAGTTCCAGATGTGTAACTGAACATTAATTTGCTGGACTATTCTCTCCTTTCTTTCGCATATCATATTTCGAGTGAGCTCTTCATATGTGAGCATTAGTGTTTCAGCTAGATTAATTTAAGATACAAGAAATATTAGGTTATGAGTGGCATTAAGCTACCAAGATCAAATCTATCAATCTGTAATTGAGATAAGTCTCAGCGAAACCTGCATTTCTAAAACTCTCCCAGAGCAAATTCTTGACCTTTACGTAGCACTTCTAAAACCCGATCTGGGTAGAAATTTCAAAGCGATCATAGGCATAGTACACGCTCGACTATAAATTGTGTCCTTGTATCATATTCGCGCACATTACAGCGTTTTAGAAATTCTTGAATGTGATTAAAATTGCGTTACATTCCTAAGGGTGGAAGAATGAGCATTGAATATTTCGAAGTTATGGAAGTATTAGACTGTTACGAAAATAATGTTGATATAGCAAAATGATCTCCAGAAGGTGACCTATCATATAATCATCCGCATAAGTCGTAATCTGTGTTTCGAAGCTAGTGAAGATTTAAGTAAACAAAGTCGGATCTCAGCCGCAAAAAATTTTGCGAACCTCTCATGTACATAGTCATACATATAATAGGCAAATATTTACATATTCTTGCTTTAGATTGGTGGCTAGAAAGCACGAAAAAAAGGTTATTGAAAGAATAAACGAGTGTAACCATATGTTAACATATTTAGCAGCACTAGTTTCCGAAATGTATCATTCTGCTTCAAAATCGAAAAAAAGGAGAGATTAATTTTGAGACAAAATAATGATTTAACTTACTCCATAATCGCTTATACCAAGGTGGACGAAAAGCGTCCTTTACATCGTTTGCAGTTCGTTTAATCCCATTTTTTGCCGCATCTGATAAGCATTAGTCTCATCAAATAGTTAAAGTCTAACAATCGCTTCTACCTACTGCCTTTTCCGCATTCCGTTTCTCGCTACGGAAAAAGCGTTTCACACGTCTTTCGTCTAAAATTACCACAAAATGGATGGAAAGCATGAAAATTCGTGGGGAAAAGGGCAGAATATAGAGTAGAACTCACCGATTGACATAGGGAACTGGGCTTCGGCGGGAGCGAACCTGTCGTAAGGTTGAGCGACAGACCGGTAGTCAGTTGTGTCACGCGGCAGACTATCATAGACTGCGAGGCGGTAACATCTATACTGAAAGGAGTCTACAGTCATGGGTCGCATAGCGATATTTGACGTTTACCAATGTAGAATTAAACGCGTCAGAGTCTGAACATATGACTTCGAGCTGATTCATCTCGATTCCAGTTCTCTTATAATGAAAATTTGCAAAGATTTCGTTCTTTGAACAGAGCAGGTAGAAGTGCTATGACTATTCTTGTTGTTTAGCACTTAGTCATGGAAATGTTGTGATGGTGAATAGGTAAGCTTGCAGATGTCATCAGAGCTTCAATCGTTCGATATTATCAAGAAATACATTACAAGCATTCCCTTTTGCAACACAGTCTACACCATACGTTACGAAAAACATGGAACGAATAAATACATACCTGATTTTCGAATAAACGAATATTATTCGATTGCTGATTTCCAAAATATTCGAATTCGAATATTTGAATGTTCACATTCCAAAATTCGAATGTTCGACTATTCGAGTAAAGGAATTACTGGATATTATCGAATATTCCAATTCTCAAATATTCGATTATTCGTACATTAGAATGCAATATTCGAACAATCGAACGCACTTTTCGCAAATTCGAAAATTCGAACAGCTATTTCCCTAAACTTCTCGAATATTCGAATATTTGACTAAGTCTTTTTTCGAGTCGTCGAATGAATGAATATTCAAATAAAGAGCTTTTTCATCTATTATTCGAATAATCGAATAAATGGACTTCCTCAAATATTCGAGTATTCCAATAATCGAATATTTAAATAAAATATTCGAGTACGAACATTCGATTTCAACTATACTGTGCACTATGCTTCATCTCGCGACTCCTATTTTTGAAGCCGCTATTTTTTTGTTGTTTATTTCTTCAGAATTCTAGTTTAGATAGTTCTGAAAAGTGAGAGTTAACAAACCATAGACAGGATAAGATATATCATTTTCAATTTATATAAGCAAACTTTCGGCACTGATGTTCTGATTTTCGGTGTTCTTCAGAGTTGAGCCCATTTGCAACCTGCAGCTTTGATGTCCACTATCCCACCATTTCATGTGTTGTTAGATGAATGATGAGAAGGGGAAAACGTATGAAAGAATCTCAGAAGTATTCATATTTATTCTTTGTGTTCTGCATCCTTCGAAGGCTATCGTATCAAGCTTATAAGCGCTTCACAGTTTAATATTATAAAGGGTAATAACATACGTTATGTGAGTTTGTAGAACAACATGCCTACCCTCAATAAGACTAATTTGTGGCTGCATGGTCTTAATTTGTAATCGTTGAGTTTTTTGTCATTGGCATAAACTTGAAACGTGTCTAGGTATGACACTTTGCAATGTCGGCGTTTTAAATGTTTACATAAAGGTTTCCATCATTTGCGCGAGGAAAGTCTAACTTGTTTTACTGGAATCCACCACGTATAAGTTCTCGCATAGAATTTTCACTCACTGAGAAGACAATCTGCCGGCATGGCTCTCAAAAAATCAATGGAGGATGATAATTGTTTTGTATTCGTAACGAGGATTCGTAAGGTGTGAAAGGACACTTAGCATATTGCTGACAGATCGCATTCAGTCGTAGAAATCAACCCTACGATAACTATTTCACCTGATTTGAAGGGCATCTTTCGTAACCCAGCACCACATTTGTCAATGAATCGGAGGGAGCTAATCTGAACAATTCAATGTTCTCAATACGCTCTCCTTTAGTTACTAATTTTCAGCAGTTGAGATACAATAATTCTGAAGTTTGTTCCCTCTGGACTGTTAATCATTGCTATAGTGTTTACGTCATTGTTATATTCATAAGGAAACACTGGGTTGGTAAGAAAGTCTTCGGACATTTTTTTGGACTGAATTTACTGTTTCTCATTGTCAGATCTAATGCATCTGCGCATGTAGCCAACATCTGAGCGAGGGAGGACTGATAATGATTAATGAGGGGGGGGGGGGGGGAGAGAGTTTGTCACTTTCCTTCAACCTTGCTTTTCTTGTTATTTGAGCTCAATTATAATACAGTTTGTGCATGTAAGTATGCATTTATGTGTACTACCAAATAGAGCATGTGGAGTGTCATCGTTTATGAAGTTGGCGATATGAGCTAGGTCCGAAATCCTATGCTTCCGAATTTTCGCCATCTCCACGGAAAACATTGAAAATGTTCGTGCTTACCATAGTGTTGTAGGGAGTGCTCTCCTCTATCCAACGTCGTGGAGCTTGCCCCATCTAGTACTCGTGTAGAAACAAAAATTTCATCGAAATGCCCAAAAACTTTCTTACGAACCCAATACTTCAAAGAAATTCGCTAACTTCTCAAGATAAATTCAGTACCATCTATTGACCTCGCTGAGGGAACGTATCAACGTCTCTCAAATAGCACTAAAAAATTCAGAGACGGTCAAGAGGCGATTTCTCTGGAGGTCACCAACACAAAAGCCCAATTTTGAGCTATGGAAGTCCTTAAAAATACGAGACAAAGCGCTCTAGCTTAAATAACTGTCTGAAGAGACCATTTGCTAAGTTTGACGGTTTTTGGTCAAGAACTGAACGAAATATTCACGAAATTGCGATTAGTTGCATTTACGCGGGTTTTTCACCTTCAACATTCATGTTCTGTATCTATTTCGAGTTATAAGATTAAACAGCTCTGGCAACGATCTTGCATACCTCATCAGAAATTTAGAAGTCTTTCAGAACGTTATTAAACACTAAAAGAGCTCTAATTATTGTCCATCTGGCAAAAAAAAAATCGCGTCTCTTGACATACACCCAAAAAATTACCTTTGACAGCCAGTTTCCGAGCTTATCCGCCCTCATTTCTGACCCCACTTGATCACAATATCGCACTAGCAGCTACCAATAATAAAAAATCCAGCAAACAAAATATGAAGTGTAATATTATAGGTCGTTAGTGCTACTTTCTATTGTGGATTCAAATTCTATTTTTCGAAAACAAACAAAGAGGAAAATTATCATAATTTGGGACTCAAACATTCAAATGTGCTAGAATGTACAAAAAATCATCGGTTCTAGCCTTGAAGAGCTCTTCAAACATGCGGAGTGTCTGTTCTTCTCTGCACCTTGAGAAAAATGCATAAGTGCGCGTAAGTCCTGAGAAGAATTCTGCTTCTTGGGAATGAGGAAGGAGAAATGAAGGAGGAGGGAACGATTGGTGGAAAGAACATCGACATCGAACTTATGGCTCGATATCTGCGTCGGCAGAAGTTGAGCGGGGTCAAACTGGTCGTGACCTCTTCCATCCCTGAGGCTCGTACCCTCCACCACTCTCATAAAAATATATTGATGGTTAGAGGGCAACAACGATCTACGATGGTGTTGTCGTTTGTTATCGTATTTTCCTGTGCTTTTTGTGCAACTGCAGAAAATTTCCTTAATTGCAGTTTCATTGCAGTAATGGGCCCCGAATTGTCGTTCTTGAATGCGTATTACACTGTTATTAATGTCACAAGGAATACGCTAAACACTTTTCTGATCTCGTCCGCCTCTGAAGCGTCATAAGGTGTTGTAGCTGCTGTATCGGTTTTCTTACATTTTTCTGTCCTTTTATCGCTTTCTTGGCTGGCATTCCTTACATGGAAATGAGACTCTGATTCCTGATCTTCGGTCAAAATCAAAGCTCATGCCTCATTCTTCTATTTTACTTTACTTTGCTTACTTGGTCATGATGCTCTTCTGAATTTTTTCTCTCATCATAGTCTATTCACGTAACCTACAGGTACCGCTCCATGTATCATACAAGTTCATACCTTTTAACGAAAATGAGTACCCTATTTTCAGGTGTATAAGCCGCACTCTCTTTGCTCTAAACGCGAGCAGACCCAGGCGTGCCGCTGCGCAAGTGCCTCGCGAAGCGGTCGCTTTCTCGCACATTGCTCTCACTCAAAGGCAGCGTCCCACCAGACTGGAATACCTGGCTCTGGTAGTAATGTAATATTAGACCTCTAACTAAGCGACGACAGAAGTTTGCAGCGCTAAAGGGGGTCTACGAAGTCTACAAATCGCCCCTCAAGTGGCCCGAATCTTACGGTAGGCTCGGGCGAGTGCGAGATGCATGCAAAGTAGAGATGCAGAGTCGTTGCGGGATCCTGCGCTCACTGTGTGCGCTATACGCACTCTGGCCTTGCAAATCGTTATAGCTGTGTGGGTGGCGTCCGGGCCTACCGTAAAATTCGGGCCACTTTCGGAGCAAATTTCAGGCTTGGTAGACCCCTCTTTCGCTCCGAACTTCAGTCATCGCTTAGATAGGGGGTCTACTTCGACATCGTCACAAAAACCCAGCACCCATCTTTTTGGCAAGATCCACATACCCAGAATAGCACATAGTTGTAAAGCGGGCCCCATGAGTATCCAATCTGCGTTGTTCCGATCCTTTGACGTGACCTCTAAAAGGAGATACGGGCCTGTGATACGTACCACAAACCGCTCCTTCGTATCATAGACCACTCTGAGGACGTGTGCTCACGCATCGATCGACCATGGATTGCAACTGCACCCATGCAGTTGCAGCTCCTCCTCAGTGGCGAGGGGGATAAACAATCCGAAACTCGTCTTCAAAACAAGGTCCTCAGGAATCGGGTTTTTCGAGGGTTTTGGACAATTTGAACTTTATAACTGTAACCAGGGCCACGGAAAGGCCTTAGAACGACGAAAATATGAGAGGCGAAATTTTGCCCGGACGCTGCCTTTAACGAGCCCCATCGTAAAAGGCAGTCTTTTGGCGCGTGCGCCTTTAGAGCGAACAGGGTGCGGCTTATACACCTGAAAATAGGGTAGTAAAAGTTTAGCTCAAGCTATATAAGGGTGGGTAGATTCATGAACAGCGAAAAGAACTTTAACAAGGAAAGGCGCTTAATTTAGATCGGCCTTTCGAAAAAAGACGCACATATCCGAAATCAGCTCAAGATGCTGATTTCAGATATGCTGTCCGTAGCTGCGAAGCATTGCTTGAAGCGAGTTGTGAGCTTTTTAGTATGTGTCAATGACATATAACTGAATATGGAAAGAAGGCCTTTAGATAAAAATCTGCCCAAGA